GAGGCTGTTAGGAATTGTGTTGAAGTCCAAAACACTCGGAGGGCCCAAGTTTGCCCATGCCTGCTCTACACTATAGAATGAATGCAGTTTGACACCACTTGAAGTGCCATGGCTCACTGCTACGGGAGTTTCCAAGTGCCTCACCAAACTATAACTCCCATAATCCCATAGACCAGTGGTTCTCAACCTGGGGTCCCCAGATGTTTTTGGCCTTCAATTCCAGAAATCCTAACAGCTGGTAAATTGGCTGAGATTTCTGGGAGTTGTAGGCCAAAAACATCTGGGGACCCCTGGTTGAAAACCACTGCCATAGACAGTAAAAGCAGTATTAAACTGCATTCATTCTATAATATAGACTCACTCTTTGTCTTCATTGTTTGTCCCTTAAGTAGAGCAGACCCATTGGATTAATAGGTTTGTTTACTTAAGAATTGCTCTACCATTCAACGATTGATTCCTAGCCATCTTTTCTCTTGCTGGGAGGAGAAACTGGATTTAGTCTCTTGCCTAACTCCGTCTACAATCAAAGGAGAAGGGACTAGCTTGCGTGTCGAGTGTACACTCAAGGGGCAAACTCGAGTGGGTAGTTGTGTCTGTGTGAGAGGGAGACCTTGAAGTGTCGTGATGGTTTGTATGACTCTTGACAGTCAATTCTTTGGAAATTAAATGGCGTTTGCTTCCTAGGTTTAAGGCTGGGCTGCTGGCTAAGCGCGGGTCTGAGAATCCGGTTACAGAGTTATGGATCGGTTTGGAGATTTGAGTCGGACTCCACTTCCGCTTGAATCGAGGCAGATCGGACAGTAAGTCTCATTTGAATCCGAGTAGATTTAGGGACCTTCCAGACAGGCCCTATATCCAGGATCTGATCCCAGGTTTTCTATTTATCCCAGATTATCTGGCAGTGTGGACTCATATAATCTGGTTTAAAGCAGAATCAGATCCTGGGATATAGATCCTGGGATATAGGGCCTGTGTGGAAGAAGCCTTAGTCTCTTTTAGGAGAAACAGTGGAACACAGGGACCTTGTTTGTTTGTTATATTTATATTTACACAAGTCTTTCCTCTCTTGATTGAGACTCAAAGCGACTTAGGCTGGATCTACATTGTTGAAACTGCATTGTATGGCCAGTCTAGACCTGTGCAATGCAATCTGAACTGCATTGGCCTGCATTATATTATTTATATAATAATATAATACAATTATTATATTTTAAATATTGTAATTACAATATAATATCATTCTATAATATAACATCTATATATTATAATATATAAATATATTATATACAATAATATATTATATTATTTATAATAATGTAATATAATAATAGAATTATATTGTATTATATATATTATGTTGTATTATTTATTATTATAATAATCTGCATTATTTAGCAGTCTAGACCTAGCCTCTTTGGCAAGTCCCATTGGTTCAATGGATCTACTTTAGTTAGGACTGACAACTTAGCCTTGAGAGTTTGCTTTCATCAAAACGAGTTGTGTATTTATGTGGGAGGGGGAAATGTACCTCGCTTCTTTTGCATTGTCTTGTATCTCGTTTTAAGAATGTTTCTGGGGAACCTGCCTTGATTCCAGCTGCATTTGAGTTAGGCTGCCATCCTAGATCCATTCCTTTGCCTTTGAATGGCAGGAGAGTGTCGTCTAGTTAGCCGCGCATGCGTAGAACCATCCTGGATGTAACCGCGTTAGGTCCTGAGCTGTCAGTCGTTCTGCCTTGACGAAGGTGTTATTGGTGACCTCGGCAATATGCTCGCCGCCTTATTTTTTGAGTAGGATTGTTTGCATTTTCTGGGGCGAAGGGATGGGAAGGGTGCCAACTTCAATAGCCCAAGGGGCCAAAAGCATCCCCCCTCCTTTAATTCTCCAGGAAGCGACTTGGCTTTCTGGGGGTACCCCGTATTTTAAATTAAGCCATGCTTCATTTGCTCCTTAGCCTGATCGGCTGCATTAATCAGCCCTCTTCCCATTGACAGGCCAAACCTCGTCTGCAGTGTTCCCGCTACAAAGACTTTTTTGTGGAAGTGCAAATCAGTTTAGGCAATTATCATACCGGGAATATGAAGGGGGGAAAGAGGAGCCCTTGCCCAGTGGCCTCCTTTAATCTCTTAATCCGTGGATCCGAGGGCGGGGGGGGGGGGGGCGAGTTGGACATAATTTAGGACAATCCGACGACCCTTTTACACTGCGATAAGGAGAAGGGACAATGCCGCCCGAAAATGCCCGCTTTGTTCAGCAACCCGCCTGGTATAATAATAATAATAATAATAATAATAATAATAATAATAATAATAATAATAATTCATGTGAGTTTCATGTTTGTTTGTTTTTTTTAAAAAAAAAACCTGGGCAGCTTCTTTTCGCCTTATTAAGAATAATATCTTTCCACCTGTATTTTAATAGTTGTCTCTTTTCGATCTTTATGAGTGACTTTCCACTCAGAGCTGTGGGAAAGAGGAAGGAAGGGAGGAAGGGAGGCAGAAAGAAAGAAAGAAAGAAAGAAAGAAAGAAAGAAAGAAAGAAAGGAAGGAAGGAAGGAAGGAAGGAAGGAAGGAAGGAAAGGAAGGAAAGGAAAGGAAAGGAGAAAAGAAGGAAGGCAGACAGACAGGAAGGAAGGAAGACAGAAAGACAGAAAGACAGAAAGGAAGGAAAGAAGAATGGAGGGAGGGAAGGAAGGAAGGAAAGGAAAGGAAAGGAAAGGAGGAAGACAGAAAGACAGGAAGGCAGGTAGGAAGGAAGGAAGAATGGAGGGAAGGAAGAAAGGAAGGAAGGAAAAAAAGGAAGGGAAAGACAGGAAGGAGGGAAGACAGAAAGTCAGACAGAAAGGAAGGAAAGAAGAATGGAGGGAGGGAGGGAGGGAGGGAAGGAAGAAAGGAAAGGTGGAAAGAACGAAGACAGAAAGACAGAAAGGAAGGAAGGAAGGAAGGAAGGAAAAGAAAGGAAAGGAGGAAAGAAGGAAGGCAGACATACAGAAAAGAAGGAAGACAGAATGATAGGAAGGAAGGGAGGAAGGAAGGAAGAATGGAGGGGAGGAAGGAAGGACGGAAGGAAGGAAAAAAGAAAGGAAAGGAAAGGAAAGGAGGAAAGAAGGAAGTAGACTAGACTAGACTAGACAGACAGAAAGACAGGAAGGAAGGAGGGAGGGAGGGAGGGAGGAAGGAAGGAAGAGAGGAACCCGCTTCTCTGTCGACCCTGCCGCATCCCACTTTAGAGACCTAGGAGCCAGCGCTCCTAACGCAAACTTCTCTTTTACTTCCTCCTTCCGTCCCTCCTGTCTTTTTCCCTCCTGTCTCAGTTCTTACCTACTTTTAATGCATCCTTCCAAAGAAAAACCAGGCATACCGACTAGTTTTATCACCTCTCTGCTTTAAAGTAAATACATTACAACACATAGGCATTACCCTTTTATTGCCTTCCTTCCT